GTTTTTAAGAGTAACAATAAACAATGAAAAATAAGTAATGAAATCTCTAGATGGAAAGGCTCCCTCAATGCTTAACAATACGATTTTTATGAAAGAACTTTCTTGAGGCATATGATGTCATGTTTTATTTTTACTAAAAAAAATTTTTTAAAAGAAAAGTTTTGAGGTAAACTACTGTGTGCACCAAAAAAAGGTACACAGATTTAAAAAAAAAAAATGAGGACCTAGAGAGATGGCCCAGCAGTTAAGAAGACTTGCTGCTCTTGCAAAGGAATAGAGTTGGTTCCTACCACCTCCTTTCGACAGCTTCTGAACTACCTATAACTCCAACTCCAGAGGACCTACCACCTCCTTCTGGCCTCCCCCAGCACCCCCACACACAGCATGCACATGAACGTTCACATAATTAAAAATAAAACAAAAACGTCTGTAAATGGGTTTACAATTTACGTTTTTAACCAACTCACTATGTCTCCGCAATGAAAGGTGTTGTACTGATCCCACTGGCCACCCGGTCAGAAGATCGGTATGCAGGCAGACTGTGTGGCTGACAGAGAGAATGCCTACTCTGGGAACCACACTTCGCTGGGTGCCAGCCCTCAAAGATAAATTAGATCTGCCTTAAAATGCCCTTTCACTGGAGAGAAGACAAAGACAGATAAACAAATGAAAGGCACGTAAGTGGAAAATGTCCTGTTCCATGAGCAAAGCTACGTATCTGGATCTTCAGGGATTGTTTCGGGGTGGAAGGCATCGGGGAATTGTGAGGTGAATTTCAAACTTGGAAAAACACAGGATAGAGATAGAGAAGCAACAGCTGGTGCAATAGGTGGTTGTTGTTCTACAAATCTGTGTCATGAGAAAGCCAGCTACAGCTAATTGTGATGCGCCTGTATTTGTTGACTCAACTGGACATGAAGTAAGATGGCAGGGCTAGAGTCTTCAATTCTGTCCACGTCACGAAAGAAGCAGAAAGAAGTAGGAGAAAAGGCAGAGTGGGGGACAGTAAAAGTGCAGTGTGCGGTCCTGTAAACAATGCTTCGCAAAAATAACAGTTAATAAAATAAAAAATCAACGAAACAACATCAGCAAGGCGGGTGGATCTCTGTTAGTTAGAGGCTGGTCTGGTCTACACAGCAAGCTCCTAGACCAGCTAGGGAGACATAGTGAGACTCGCTTCAAAAAGAGGATAAATATACAAATATATAAATATGTAAGCGTAAGACTTAGGGAAGTTGGTTATGGAGTGTTTATTACATTGGCTAGGACTCAGGAGATGTCTCAGCGAACAATGTGCTTGATGTGCAGGACTGAGGGCCTGAATTCAGATTCCCAAGCATAAAAGCCTGGTGCAACAGCACATGTCTGTAACCCCAACCCAGGGTGGGGTCGGGGGGTGAAAAGCTGGGTGGGGGCTCTCTGGCCACCCAGTCTAGCTGAAATGGCAATCTCCAGACCCAGTGAGAAATTATCTGGAGAAATAAAGTGGAAAATAAAGCAGGGGAAGGCATCCAAAATCAGTCCCCGGCCTGTGTGTGCATATTGCTCAGAGACCCACACCACCATTGGTCATCAGCGGTAAACTTCTTGAGGGCAACGGTGGAATTGTGGACATGAAAAAGTAACCCTCGTTCTAAGAAGATGCTAGGAATGATAGCAGCAACCGAGTCAACAGCAACAGGTGCATCGCAGATATGCATCTGTGCAAAGGGGAGGAATGCATGCAAACAGGGCCATAGCGCGCAGCAGGCGGGGTTAAGTGAGCAGTTAAATGGGATTCTGGGAACTGTGGTTGATGGGTTGGTTTTGGTTTTTTTTTGTCCCTCCAAACTTCCTTCTAGCCTTAAAAGCTTTCAGAAAAAAGAAAAACATGTTGGAAGGAACTGAACTGGAATGAGCTGATCAAATTCGGCAACATTCACAGAAAGAAAGGATCCAGGTTCAGGATGTAAGAAGGATGCTCTTCCTCAGGTGAGCTGGGGACTCTGCATGCCACTAGACCTTTTCCCCACTCCAGTGCTTTGAATAAGCTAAATGTAACAGAAAAGTTAGACGTTTTCTTTGTATCAGACTCAATAATGTGATCTCACGCGATGTCCTGTTGGAGCTCCGGCATCCTTCCGTGTATCCAGACGACAGCGAGGATGCTGCTGTGTCCTTGTCTTTACCACCAAAGCACAGGTCCCTTCTCAGGGCAGAACATCATAGTGCAATGAGCACATGACAAGGGAGCAGAACAATTTCCTCCCCCTGTTTATCGTCCTGAGCCTACAAATGTTTGATCCTTTGGTCCTCTCCCAAAACACATGTGGATTCTCTTGTTTAGTTTACTTAGTTTAGTTTCTTTAATTCTTTTCTTCTTGAGACAAAAGTTTCATGTAACTCAGGCTAGCCTCAAATTAACTGGGCAACTGAAGATGATCTTGAATTATTTTTTGTCATTTGTATTTATTTATATATTTCACGCAGGATCTCACTGTGTTGTCCTGGTTGGCCTGAAACATCTTATGGAGACCAGGCTGACCTCCGGACTCACAGAGATCTGCCTACTTCAGCCTCCCACGAACTGGAATGAAAGATTTGTATGGCAGTGGGGTGCAGCCCACAGCTTCATGCACAGTAGACAAGCACTCTACCAACCAATTTTTTTTTCTTTTTTTGAGTTTTGAAACAGGATCTCACTGTGTAGCCCACATTGTCTGAAAGTCACAATGTAGCTCAGCCTCCTCTGGACTCTCCCATGGTCCTCTGATGTTAGCCTTCCACATGCTGGAATTACAGCTATGAGTCACCAGTACAGGCTCTCTCAAGCTCCCAATTGAGAGAAAGCAACATTTTTCACCCACCAAGCGTTTTTTAGACCCAGTTCTTAGAAGTGCAGTCTGGTCCAGAGCAACAGGCACTCAGGGCTCAGTGAAGAATGGCAGAGTCCAATCTGTGACCTTTCTTCTCGGGGCCATATCTTCTGCCAGAACTGACACTGTTACCACCCACATCCTAAAGGTGCCCACGAGGAGACTGGTGGATCTAGGTTCATATCTGCTGCTTGGACTCACCGATCAATGCAGGGTGTAAGCAACTCCAGCTACAGGGAAATCAATACCTCTGACCTCTTTTAGTACCTACACACTCAGGATGCAGAGGCAGGCACATCTCCAAGTTCGAGTCCAGCCTGGTCTACAGAGTAAGTTCCAGGATAGCCTGGGCTACACAGAGAAACCCTGTCTCAAACACAAGAACAACAAATAAATATGAGACATTTTGAAAATAAGTAAAAGTGGTGCTGATTTTAGCCTTTTCCAAATGAAGAACAATTTGATGATTAGAACAGGAGTGTTTGATCCTGGAGAAAACCAATCACTGCACAGGATCTTCCCCCCCAGGGTTCCACCGAATTACACCCTGTGGGGATCTGAATGTAATTGGCCCTCATAAGTTCATAAAGAACGGCACTACTGGGAGGTGTAGGTGTGACCTTGTTGGAGGAAGTGTGTCACTGTGGGGGTGGGCTTTGAGGTCTCCTTTGCTCAAGCTACACTCAGTGTGGTCCACAGGTCACTTCTTCCGGTTGCCTTCTGATCAAGATGTAGAATTCTCAGTTCCCTCTCCAGCACCATGACTGCCTGCATGCTGTCTTACCCCTCCATGACGATAATGGACTGAACCTCTGAAACTGTAAGGCCAGCTCAATTAAATGTTTTCTTTTATAAGAGTTGCCGTGGTCGGGGTGCCCCTTCACAGCAATAGAAACCCTAACTAAGATACCACCCTCCCAGTGAAGTTAAAATAAACAGGAGGAAAACACAGACCTAGAGAGGCAGTCTGAAGGCTAAGGCTGGACCATGAGGGGCCATAGCATCCCTTACCCAGATGAAGGACTATTGAAGGGTATTGATTCAGGCATCTTTGAGCCCAGCAAGACATGAAGTCTGGCTAGCCAGCCAGCATCGGGAGTCAACAACAACAACAGGGCTGTGTAACCCGGACCACCACTAACCTAACTGATTCCCTTCCCACTTCAAAAAAAAAAAAAAAAAAAAAAAAAAAAAAAAAAAAAAAAAGGGGGGGGGTTGGCGCAGGTCTCCATCGCTTTAGAGTTCTTCATCTTTATCATCCAGGTTCACTCTGGTGAGCACTGACCATCTGCTGTTCCCCAAATAGATAACAGTCCCCCACCCCTTAGGAAGGAAGTGAAGGTTGAACTATTTTTTGTAATCTTTAAAAATGGGAGCTGGAGAGATTGTTGATCTAACCCCCTCCTCTGGCCTCGGCAGGTGCTTGTGTAGGCGTGGCCCACACTCACACATATACCCACCAACAAAAGAACAAACATTTAAAACCTTTAATATTTACTTTATATGTAGTTTTGCTATTTTTGAGGAGAATCTTTTCTCTTAAAAACATCTTTAAATCATCCAAACATTTGAAACCCGGTGTGGTTATGAACTGCACGTTTGTCTATTTTTCTAGTTTTAGTTGAGGTGCGCATATAGTTTTACACGTTTTATTCACACGTTCATCAAACTTAGGTTGATGTTGGACACCGTGGTATACATCTGTAATCCTAGCACCTAGGAGACAGTGTTTAAGGAGCCTGATGTATACAGCAAGACTGTTTTTAAAAAGCAAGCAAGCCAAGAAACAAAACTCTAGTATTGGACACGCAGCATTTCTGTACCTAAAGCAAAACACTGGCGGTGTGAATATGCCCTAAACAAGCTGCACTCTCAAGGAACTAACTCTAAGACTGGGCACGAGTAAAGGTGAGAACAGGAACGTAAGGAAGCAAAGAAGTCGTAAAGAGGAGGGTAAAAGAACGCACTGTGTCCAGCCAACAAGGGGCGTGTCAGATGAGTAAGAAGAGAGGAGGCTGCAGGTCCCTGCCGAACAAACTTGGCACCTCCCGGGGCTCACTTCATCTTTCAGCCCGAACCCAGACTGAGAAAGCGGAAGGCATGCTGAAAATGGGCGCGTTAGGAAACAGAGTAAACGGAACTGACCTGCGGAAAACGGAGGCGTGGTCTTGCAAGTGACGAACACTTGAGACTAGCCAGGCGTGCGAGCAAGCGTGAGTAAGATTCGGAATAAATGCTTAGCCAGTGAGCGGCTTCTCAAATGGGCCAGCTGCCGCTCTTGCTCTTAGTGTTAGAGGAAGGATGGAAGGAGGGCGGAGTGGCCCCTACGGCACAAGGGAAGTAACACGTGAGGGTCAAGGTCAGGGCATTTGTCTGCTTTCACTTTCCTGGTCTCCCACGCCCTTGGTTTTCTCCTTTCTCCTTCTCACTTTTGATTTCTTTCCTTTTTCTTCTTATCAGATGAAGGTGTATGAGTAGCGGCCAGGAATAATAAATTTTTTTTAAGCATTGGATTACTAGACTGTATTACAGGCTAAATACACATGGTTTTTCACAGCCAGGCAGTGGCGGTGCACGCTTGCATCCCAACAGAGGCAGAGATAGATGCCTCTCTGTGAGTTCGAGGCTAGCCTAGTCTACAGGACGAGTTCTAGGACAGTCAGGAGTACACAGAGAAACCCTGTCTCAAAAACAAACAAACAAACAAAAAACCCAAAAAACAAAAACCCAGAAACAAAACATGTTTTTACCTTATAACTTGGGTTTGGGCTTTGTTTTGTTTTACGATGTCTCTTCTTGAAGGCAGCCCCGCCCCGCCCCTTCCAAATGATTTGTGTTGCCCCCTGATTCCAGCTTCGTGGTTGTGGAAGACACAGTGTCATGCTCCTGGCTGTTGTTTACACTGATTAACTTAAAAGCAATTCCATCCTGGATGACTTAACCCTGTAACCTCAGCACTGGTGAGACAGAAGGAAGAGAGAATGTTAAAACTGATGGTACCTAAGCTACAAAGATTCTGTCTCAAACAAAATAAAACACAAACATGGAAGCTAACAAAAGCAAACTATTCTGCCCAAATTTACAGTGGTGAAAAAAAAAAGATTCCTTTATTTTAATTTATTTAGATTTGGATTTTTTGTCCTGTTTTGATTTTTATCTGTGCCTGTTTCTGTGCGTGGGTTTATTATGTGTATGAGTGCAGTAGACATAGAAGCATCAGATTCCCTGGAGCTGGAGTTCCAGGTGTGTGTGAGCTGATTCATGTAGGTGTCAGGAACAGAACTCAGGTCTGTTGTCCTCAGCGATAGTTGCGAGTGTTCTTAAACAATGAGCCATATCTCCAGCCCCTACACTATGTCTAAAGAGCACCAAGATATTAGTTGGGGGGAAAAAAGAAACAACAAAACCAAAAGTGTGTTTCTCTTATGCCCACGTAATTTTGACTGGAATCTATACTTCTTAGCAGCAACGCCTTTGAAACTATGAACTGTCACTGACCTCATCATCAAATACAAACAATGACACTTAGGAACCAAAACATACTCAAAAGAAATGGCTGTCAGGTTTTCATAAAGACATCTCTATGGTCAAGAAAGTTAACTTTCGAATTCTTGCTTTACTAGAACAAAAACTTAGATAATGACTTGCTGATCCAGCTAAAGGTGATCCTGTAATTTTCTTTCCCAGGACTTGCTGCTAGACACCAAAAGACATCGTACATTTGCTCAGATTGCTAGCATTTTCTGTTTTATTTCTTTTTAGGGCCTTTGAATATAAAAAAAAAAATAAAACTTAAAAAAGCTATTAGTTGGGGCTGGAGAGATGGCTCAGTGGTTAAGAGCATTGCCTGCTCTTCCAAAGGTCCTGAGTTCAATTCCCGGCAACCACATGGTGGCTCACAACCATCTGTAATGAGGTCTGGTGCCCTCTTCTGGCCTGCACGCATACACACAGACAGAATATTGTATACATAATAAATAAATAAATATTTAAAAAAAAAAGGGAGCTGGAGAGATGGCTCAGTGGTTAAGAGTGTTGCCTGCTCTTCCAAAGGTCCTGAGTTCAATTCCCAGCAACCACATGGTGGCTCACAACCATCTGTAAAGAGGTCTGGCGCCCTCTTCTGGCCTTCAGGCACACAGACAGAATATTGTATACATAATAAATAAATAAATATTTTAAAAAAAAGCTATTAGTTGATACCCATCTCAATGTCAAAACTACATCATGAAAGATGAGATGCAGGGTTTGCTCACATAATCACACAGGGAAAAATTCATCTTCAGCCATTTTAATGTATTCTAACTAAATTACCTACGAGTATTAAGGAAAATTAATTTTATCTAAGTAAAAGCTGGAACTTACAGAAACAAAGTCATCATTCTCTTATTCTTTCCTATACCTTCAAAGAGTCCTATGAAAAGTGTGAAAGTAACAATAGCAGCCATAAAAAGATTGATCCAATTAATATGGTTTAGCCCTCAAAGCCCATAAAGGATATACCAAAGAACACAACCAAGTTAAACACTTAGGTAACAATTTTCCACATCCTAATATACCCAGCAGACAAGTCCTGATGAGACATTTCAAAGGGAATTTAAAAACAACTCATAATAAAGGAAATGATAAAGTAGGATGGGAAAGCAAATGTTATCACACTTAAAGAGACAGAGACCCAGTAAGTCAGGCCACCCAGGCAGTGTGGGGCTGGAAAGACAGCCCAGTGGTCAGAGCATTTCCCAGCATCCACCCCGGGTAGCTCTCAGCCATCTCTAACTCCAGCTCCAGGGGATCTACTGCCCTCTTCTGGCCTCCGAGAGCACCCACAGACATAGACACAGATATTCGCATACCCAAAAGTAGATCAGTAAAGAAATAAAGCAGCCTTAGGTCCTACGCCACTGCTGCAGGGTCTCAGAGCTTTGTCCCCCCCCCCCCCAGCAATATGAAGCAAGGGTCAGACAAAACAATTAATTCATCAAGGATTCTGCATAGTGGCCATCTTTCCTCAGCGTAGCCAAAATTCACGGTAAGTTTATAAAAACAGTTAAGTCTAACTGAAGCTTGAGAACGTTCAGCATTTGGATCGGATACTCTAAAAGTAGAAGAGTCTCAGATTTAGTGTGGGGAAGCACTGGACTTTGCCAGCTTTTAAGTCAAGCAGACTTCACACTCAGTCTTGCTGTCTGGTCACAACTCTATCCTCTTCTTTAGGCACAAATCTGCACAAGTTTCTTATTCTGTCTTTTGAACTTGGGGCGCTTTTTCCTTTACCTCTTAGGTGTTGGGATCACAGGCTGGTGCCCCCACACCCATCTGGCTGACGGTGTAAACACTTAGAAGGGAGAGCTAAAGTTCACAGAAAGTTTGTGTCGTAGGATTTTCCCCCCATCCCATTGTTGACATGTTTTTCTTTTTATTTCCAAGTGTTGGCAGAAGTCATTATTTATTAAGACAATACATTTATGCCAGAAATTAGAGAATTATTTACTGATTGCTATGCGCCAGACCTTGAAGGTCAGGGGGCACTGTGACTAAGAAAGACTCATGGAGAAACTGTGACTCACCCTCAGGCCAAAGGGACCTGAGGCTGCAGTAGTGCTCAGTCTGAGACCAGCAAACCTTGCAGAGAGGTGCAGGCAAATTCAACACCTTTGTCAAGGCTTGGACCTCTGGAGGCTCCGTGGAACCCACAGTTCTCCCTATCTCGGGAACACTGCTCTTGGGAAGCAGAGTTTCTTTGCGGATTTGAACAGAAAGGACCATGCAGGGCATCTTGACACCTTCTCTGTTTCAGCGGCGTTCTCAGAGGGCTTCCTCTGCTCCCTGAGTTCTGTGCAGGAATCAGAACGACGGCCTAACCACGATTCCCTCAGCTTGGATTGTTAGCTCATTGCACTTCCTCATATCCTTACTGATGGTTGCTTTCTCAGTCACCCACAAATGGTCTCCAGAACCATAGCTCCAGACTCGTGATGGTCCAAGTCTCTGGCACAGCCTGCTCATACATCAGGCCTGGTTTTCACAAAGGAAGGAAAAGAGACTTAGCCACCCAACTGTAAGCCAGAACATCAAACTCAAATTCTAAAGATTTATTTTACTTTTAATGTTGTGTTTACATACGTGCCTGAGTTAGTGTATATGCACACAGATTCAGGAAGGCGGAGGTGTCAGATACATGGAGCTAGAGCTACAGACGGCTTGGCTGGGAACCAAGCCTGGGTCCTCTGGAAGGTTAGTGTGTGTTTTTATCTGCTGAGCCATCTCTCCAGGCCCATATAAACAAAATTTAATATAAAAATGCCATTAACATATTATTTATATTAAATTTAGCAATACCACTAAGCCCAAAACTGTAAGGGAATCATCAAAAAGTCTACATCTACAGAACAGTTAACAACAACAACCAGATGGCAGTGGGGTGGTGGTGGCAAAATTATTCCTACCAAGACCTTTACCATTCTGCTTTCAAGACCCATCCCTGCTGGGAGGTGAGGGAACACAGATCTCTGAGTTCGAAGCCAGCATGGTCTACAGAGTGAGTTCCAGAAGAGCCAAAGCGACACAGAGGAAACCCTGTCTCAAATAATAATGATGATAATAATAATAATAATAATAATAATAATAAATTTACAGGCGGCATATCTATCTAGAAAACCCAGAGACTAAGAAGATAGACCAAGAGTTTATATTGCAGACAGCTACACCTATTACTCTGGAAGGTAGTATTCCTCTTAGCCAACAATAAGGAGAAAGATTTCCACCCACAATAATGATAATAGCTATAAATTACCCAGGCATATTCTCACTAATACATGCACAGAATCTGTATGAAGAAAATAATACATCTTTATAGTTGTTCTTAAAAATAACTGAATACAGGAAGAGGTGCAATGTGGCAAAAAAAAAAAAATACCAGCCCACTGCTAATTTATGAGTTAAATTCAGTCCTAATAAGAAAACAATTGGTGGCAAATATTTATAGGGCATTTAATCATACAAGTGCCTACGGGGAGCCTTTCAAGAGAAAGCAGGAAGCAGAAGAGGAAATACACAAACCGTATCATATCTGATGATCAAAAGTGTTACTGGGGAGAGGCAGTTGACTAAAAAGAGCCGGCAGCAGATGGGGCTCTCCAGCGACTGGCGTCACAGAGAAGGTGACAGGCAACGTCAAATGTGGATCAGAAGTGGGAACAAAGGCCCTAGTACTACAAAGGTCGCAGCCTGCTGAGAAACAGAGCGCGGGGCTGCTGCGGGAACCTCGTCAAACAAGGGAATTCTGGGGGAGATGAGACAGCGTTATTAGAAAAGTCAGCGGTACAGGAACTGTAGGCCACAGGGAGGGGTTGGAGTTTATTCTGCCTTCTTCTGGGAAGCCACTGGACAGCCGGGAGGAGGGGAGCTGAGAACTACCCTGATAGCTGTGTGGCGAGCAGCTAGTGAAGGAGGACAGGCAATGTGGAGGCAGGGAATCCAGGCAGGTGATTCCGAAGATTGTCCTAGCTGGAGATGTTGCATCGGGACACGGGACGGGGACGAGGGGAGCAGGGGAGAAGGAAGTGACCCGATAAGACTCTAAATGCTCGCTGGGAGGATCCTGGGGAACTTGCTGGATGGGGGTGAGAGAGTTCGTGGGTTTGTTCTGCTTTTTTTTTTTTGAAACAGCAGAGCTGGTGATGTCGCCAGTTACGGGGAGAGAATGGAGGACGAGGCTTTAGGAAGAAAAACCAGAGTTGAAATGCTAGATCTTTAAGAAAACTTGGCAAGCAGACAGAAGAGCAAGGGAACAAAACAAAACAGATACAACCATGAAAAACGAGTGTTTTTTAAAGTCAAGCCAAGTAGGAACTATACCCGCCTTTTACTAAATATTTGGCAAGTGAAACACATGTACACATAACTTTTTATGAAAATATTTACAGAAAGCTCAAAAAGACATAGATTCAGACACAAGCTCTCTCTATATACCACTATGGTGATGTGTTCTTTTTAAAAATCTCTTTCTCTTCAACTCTGTAGGCAGAGGCGGTTGGTTACATGTTAAGGAACTGTTGAACAACACATAAGGGAGGCTGGGAGTTTGATGACATTCTAGGCACCAGCCATAGTTGGAGTTGATGCCTCCCTTTGGCTTCTTCATGTGACAACAAGCAAGCCCTCCTGTTCAGGTGACCCACTTTCACAGTTTTGGTCTGTGTTGCTTGAAACCAAATAGAATTATTTTTCTTCTTTTTTTAAAAAAAAAGGATTATTTTTTATTGGTGCCTGTATGTGCGTGCATGTGTGTGTGTGTGTGTGTGTGTTGTGTGTATTGTGTATTGTGTATTCCTTGAGTGTGGTGATTCCCTTAGAGGCCAGAAGAGGGTGTTGAATTCCCAGGAGCTGAAGTGGCAGGTGGCTGTAAGCTGCCCAGCGTGGGTGCCGGGAACGGAGCTCAGGTTCTCTGAGAGAGGAGCCTGCACTCTCAAGCTCTGAGTCACGTCACTTCTCTAGCCTTGTTGTTTTGGAGACAGGGTGTCATGTACCCCAGGCTGGGCTGGAACTTCCTATGTAGCCGAAAATGACCACAAACCTGTGCTTGTCCCGCCTCTGTCTATGCGGTGCTAGGACTGAAGGGCATGCACCACTGCGCCGAATCCTTCCTGTACTTGAGATCAAACCCAGGATGTGGTTAGCGCGGTAGGCACTCTACCAACTGAGCCGCACCCTTAGCCCAGCACGCAGAATTCTGAACAAAATGACTTTTCAGTCATTGATGCTGGCGAACTTATACCATGCATTTGTGTGCCAGACACACCATGGTGTGGGGTGGGGGAAAAAAACAGAGAAAGTAGAGATCTAAACCTAAGAAAGCACAATGATAAACGCAGGCCAGGTTTGGTAGCTGGCTCAGGGGTTTAAGAGCCCTGGTTCCTCTTCCAGGGGACCCAGGTTCAGTTCCCACACTCGTCTCAGGCAGCTCGCGGAAGTTTTGGCATTTGCTTCTGATCTCCACAGAGACCCGCACTGGCATGCTCATACCCAGACACATATGTGTGTGGTTAAAAATTAAATCTTTTATTCAATTTAAGAAAGGAAAAAGGCATCAGACTATGAATGTGGTAAGGAAGTCATTAGCGCAATTGCCAAATAGGCCTGATTTCTCCCTCTGGGTGCCCGCTTCAGGAGTCGCTTCCCACCTCCTCGTGCTTAAATTAGGACCGTGCAGCTGGCTCTGGCCAGTGAGCTGCACGTGGAAGTGGAGGGAAGCCTCTGAAGCAGAACACTTAATTGCCTGCTTAAGAATCTCTCCCCTAGCCGGGCGGTGGTGGCGCACGCCTTTAATCCCAGCACTCGGGAGGCAGAGGCAGGCGGATCTCTGTGAGTTCGAGGCCAGCCTGGTCTACAAGAGCTAGTTCCAGGACAGGAACCAAAAAGCTACAGAGTAAACCCTGTCTCGAAAAATCCAAAATGAGAAAATAAAAAAAAAAAAAAAAGACTCTCTCCTCTAAGTCAAAGGGACTAGAACTTTTTACGGTAGCGGCCACTGCATCCAGCTGAATGCTGACGTCTAGACACACAATTCAGAGCAATCCGTCAGCTCACACAGGACAGGCTGCACGAACGTGAAAACAGCCAAGATCTAAAACTGTTACTGTTACATGACCTCACTTCTGCCTCAGGTGTAGACTCAAGCAAAATAAAGTTCCCCGATCACATCACACTGTGAAATGACTAATAAAAACACCACCACAACAGACGCATGCCCGTGTGCTTATGTGGAGACCTTGCTAGGAGGGATTCTGAAAGGGAAAAAGAAAAGGCAAAAGGCAGGCGATTATATCATGTGTGCTAACTTACATCTCCCATAAAAATAGACTATGTATTTCTACAGATATATGTGCCCTAAAGCCTGTTGTACATTTAAAAATATACACACGAAATTCATAAGAATATTTACCCTGGGGAAGTTTCCTTTACAAGATTTTTTTTTCCTTTGCTTTATCTGCATTTTGGGATTTTGTAATTAAAAAAAAAAGAAAAGAAAAGAAAAAAGGTTGCTGGAGGCAGAGACAGACAGCTCTCTGTGGGTTCAAAGCCAGCTTGATCTGTATAATGACTTCTAGGACAGCCAGGGTTATGTAGAGAATCCTGTTTCAACCCCCCCAAAAAGCCTCCCCCCCCACAAAGTTCACATACTAAAGCGAACTGCAGATATATAGATACATTTTTAGGAATAAAAAATTTCACTAAAAATGTACGTGATCCCAAATCATGTGTTTGTGTGTTGTCATGGCAACTCTCCTGTTGCTGTGAGAGATGTCACAACCAAGGCAACTTACAAAAGACAGTTTACCCTGGCTTACGACTCTGGGTGGTTAGAGTCCAGGACAACGGGACAGCACAGCTGCGGGAGCAGGAAACTGCCTGACCACATCCTCCATCCACACACAGGAACCCGAGAGTAGGCGGAAACCAGGGCCGTCAACCCACAAGTCCCACCCCCTGAGAGGACTTTCTCCAGCAAGGTCGCATCTCCTGAAGGTTCTAGAGCCTCCCCAAACAGCCCTGCCCACTGGAGACCAAGTATCAAATACATGAGCCTAGGGGGGCATTTCTTATCTACACCACAAGGTGTGTGTTCATATATATCGCGTATCAGTCAGAAAAAGAAATAGAAGGTTACTAACACCTCCGCCGACCTCCGTGTGGCCCTGCACACCTGTATCTCCTGATTCTCTCAGCTGCCTCACGACTAACCTGCAGCCAGGGCTCATAGGATACCCTTGTGGAACTGGTTCTCTCCTCCTTCCTTCATGTGGGTCTGGGGGTCATCAAGCTTGTGTGGCCAACACTTGGCCCGCTGAGCCTTCTCATTTCGCCATCATTTCATTAAATTTCCCGAAAGTTGACTAATCAGCTCTCCTGCATGGGAGTAGGCCAGCTCCCCAACGTTGTTGCCCTGAACCCCTAGGAGCCAGAACCACAGACCGAGACAAATGGCACTGGGGGAACGCCTAGACTGTCCGTGAACTCTCCTGGAATATTTGTAACAAATCATTTCCTCAGGAAAGGAATCCCGAGGCTGACTGCCGCTCTACTTTCACTCGGAAGAGAGAAAGGGAGGAGCCGAGGAAGACGGTGCTCTCTGACTCAGCCTGTCTTTTCAGCTGAGAAAAGCAGCATTTCCCCCCACTCCGCCGCACCGTTCCCCTGTGCTGTGACCCCCACCCCTCGATTCCAGGCTTCGGAGGGTGGCTGTTTCCACAGCTTTGCAGAACAAACAAGCAACAGAACAACGAAGTCAACTCTTGTAAGTTTCAAAGTAGCTTTGTATTCCTGCACAAATAATAGACTCGGAGATTAGGTTATTGAGGGCAGAGAGCTAAAATTAGGGGCCAGCAAGATGGCTCAGGGGGTAAACGCACTGCCAAGCCTGACTAGGCTTTGAGTCTCGTCCCCAGAACCCATAAAGAGCTAGAAAAAGAAAACAAACTCTTACAAAGTTTCTTCTGATTTTCACGAGTGCTGTAGCGCACATATGCACAAACACACACACGCACACAATTTTAATAAGATACATTTTAAAGAGCAAAAATTAATGGTATAAACACCGTATTCCAGGAGAATATATGCATTTCCCTTCTGGTGATAGTCTACTAGGTTTGCCACAACAGAGCACCACAGATCGGGTGGCCTAAATGACCGAAATGAATTTTCTCATGCTTTGAAGCCTGAGTCCAAGATCAAGGCATCTGTAGGGATGGCTTCTGGCGAGGTTTTGCTCCCTGGTGCGCCGATGACGGGTTACTGTTTGGGACTGTGAATTGTGTGATGATTAATCTTGCTTGTCAAGCCGATGCGATTTAAAATCACCATGGAAACGACATCTCTGGGTGTTTCTATGAGGGACGTTTCCAGCAATGTTTAACTGAGGGGCGGAGGCCTGCCATGAATCGGAGCAGCTCTGTACTGTGAGCTGGGGTCACAGTCTGTATAAAAAAGGGAAAAGGGGCGATTCGCTAGGATCTTGTGTCCCACTCGGAGTGTCTTGTCTCTCCTCTGCTGTCTTGGCACCCTGGAATTGTTCCTCTTTGAGCACTCCGGGAATGAGAAACGGTAGGGAGCCCAGTTGAGCTGTGAAACGGCTGGAATTTAGTGGCCTAAAGTTAGAAACAGTCCACACAACAAAGACAAGCTTCTCGGCTTCTTCACGTGATGTGGCTCACTCCTGCCCAAACTCTCACTCTTTCAAAATTCCTGGGTTTGTGGCTGGTTGCCTGCTTTCCGGCACGAACCTCGCTGTGACTTTTTTCCAAGTTGGCCCTCCTCTTTCTCTCTCTCTCTCTCTCTCTCTCTCTCTCTCTCTCTCTCTCTCTCTCTCTCTCTCTCTCTCTCTCTCTCTCTCTCTCTCTCTCCTCTTGCCCCCCCCTCCACGTGCCTGCCCCCTGGGTGAATGCGCAGCCTCATTAAAGCGAGGGGCCAGGTACCTTGGTGTGCTCACCCTAGCCTAGGCGTGGAGGCTTTCGGTCACCTGGAACTCAGGAGCCCTCCTCTGGCCTGTCATGAAGTAGGCGTGTTGCCCCTCCCAGTATAACAGTGTCTTCGGTGTACCATGCTCACAGAATATTGCAGACATCACCAGGGAACCTAACAACCCTGGTTACCATCACCACACCCACAGGCAAGGAGACAGGGAAAGTGCCAGGAAGGCTGGGGGTTTCGGTGATGTTGTTAAACTATACTGCATTTTGGACTATTTAAGTTTCGTTCTGTTGTCGTGATGCAAACAGTCTGACCAAAAAAAAAGCAAAATTACTTGGATTTGGCTTACATGTTCATGTCACAGTCCATCACTGAGGGAGGCCATGGTAGGAACCATGAAGGAATGCTGTTTCCTGGCTCACTCTCCGCTTGTTCTCCAGCTGATGCTTAGCTGGCTTTCTTATACAGCCTAGGGAATAGTGCCTTCCACAGTGGATTGTGTGCTCCCACGTCAATCATCAATCAAGACAATCCTTCACAAACATGGCCACACTTGTGAGCCTGGTGCCCGGAGAGGACAGAAGAGGGTGTTGAATCCTCTGGAACTAAAGGTACAGGTGGCTATGAGCGGCCACATGGCTGCTGGGAATTTATCCCGGGTCCTCTGGGAGAGTGTCCAGTGCTCTAACCACTGAACCATCTCTCCAGCCCCAGCAATTATATAATTTTGGGTGCTGTATATTCTCAACATTTTGAGGTGTTGCATATATTCTTTACCTTTTGTCTTACTTTGGAAATTGTCAGGACGTTAATGGCGACATCTCTGGCTTAGAATGACTTGGAAAAGAAAAGCTGTTTTCGGGACAGTCACGTGTTCTGGGAAAACTATAACCATATCAGCTAGAACCCTGGAGTGGAGTCTAATGGAGCCCTGTGTGTTTCTGCCTGCTCTTAAGGACTTGATGGGATCCAAAGCAATGCTAAGAAAAATTATATGAAATTAAATTATGAAATCCACAGAAGGAGCCAAAATAAAATCGCGAAATGTCCAATAAGTAGTCGCATAGGCTATGTCAGGCTGTCTGTGTGGAAAGTCGAGCTTAGCATGCTGTAACTCCAGGTTACAGCAACAGCTCTCCTCCTGAGTGCCAGCATGTGGGCTCTGTCCTAAAACATCCATCGAGAATAGCAAAGGAGAGGCAGCTTTTGAATCAACTCTGTCTGCCTCGGATGTTGAATCCTGTAACATTTTAGGACTTAGAACCTCCATCATATTCTGTGAGCTCCTTCCCAGACCTCTAAACTTAAAATCACCACGGTAACATTTTCTGGGTGTGGACCTGATGCACAGACTCATCATCACAAGAATCGGAGCTGGAACTCAGCCATCCTGGGTCTCCCGTCCAGTGATGCCTTCCCATAGACAGCCTCTGCCAAGAAATGACTCAACTAACAATCCGATGGCAGAAACATCCTTTTGCTAATTTGCTCTTCTTTTCCCTTGCTTTTCTCTACAGAGACTGAGGTAGACCACACTTAGCTTATCAAACAGAAATGGAGTTTATGTGTGTATAGGTTATACATGTGTGTGCATACATGATAAATTTCTAAGATGCTTAAATTTACTTCCACTTCATCTCCATTTCTCAAGAAGTTTCACCTTATTTTTTTATTGATTTTATTGAGCTCTGCATTTTCCTCTGCTCCCTTTCCTCCCTCCTTCAACCCTCTCCCACGGTCCCCATGGGAGATCTTGTCCTTTTCTACTTCCCATGTAGATTAGATTCATGCATGTCTCTCTTCGGTCCCTCATTATTGTCTAGGTTCTCTGGGATTGTGAATTGTGGACTGGTTTTCTTTGCTTTATGTCTAAAAGCCACTTATGAGTGAGTATATATGATGTTTGTCTTTCTGAGTCTGGGTTACCTCATTCGGTATGATGTTTTCTAGCCCCATCCATTTTCCTGCAAATTTCAAGATGTCGTTATTTTTTTTTCTGCTGTGTAGTACTCCACTGTAAATGTACCACATTTTCCTTATCCATTCTCCAGTCGAGGGGCATTTAGGTTGTTTCCAGGTTCTGGCTATGACAAACAATGTTGCTGTGAACATAGCTGAGCACGTGTTTCACCTTCTTTCTAGAGTCCTATTTTAGGGATCAGTGGGATGGCTCAGAGGGTCGTTGTAATACGTGATGCTAAGACCAATACCCAGACTTTGATTCCGAGAACCTATACGGTAAAGGAGAGAAGCAGCTTCTACAAGCTGCTCTCTGATGTCCACACACAGGCACACGTACTCGTGTGCACACAAAGTAAATAAATAAAAAGGCAATAAAATTTTAATTAATTTTTCCTTGGATTTTCTATGACAAGGTCTCATAATATAGCCCAGACTGCCCTTGAGCTCACTCAGTCCTCTTGATTTGGTTTCTCGTGTGCAGGTATGAGCTAGCATGCTTACCTAGCTCAGACACACACACACACACTTATGTTTAGTTTTCATTTGTTTGGCTGTTTCTTTGGGAGGGGGAGGGGGCAGGGTTGGGGCTTCGGATTTGGCTCCATTTGGTTTGAGTCTTGGTTTTGCAAGGCAGAGTTTCTCTGTGTAGCCACCCTGGCAATCCTGGAACTCATTATATAGTCTGGGCTGGTCTCTAGCTCCCAAAGATCCACCTGCCTCTGCCTCTCGAGTGCTGAGATTATAAGGCCACTACACCTGGCTCTCCAAAAATGGTTTGTTGTTTTTATTTTTAAAGAATAGTTTAATTCAAAAATTTAAGCTAGCTGGGCGGTGGCGGTCTTTAATCCCAGCACTCGGGAGGCAGAGGCAGACAGATTTCTGTGAGTTCGAGGCCCGCCTGGTCTGCAGAACCAGGTCCAGGATAGCTAGGGCTGTGACACAGAGTAACCCTGTCTCAAAAACAGGCAACAACAACAGCAAATTAAGTTAATTAGTTAAAATATTTTTAAGATTTTACTTTATTTTTAATTAGGTATGGGTGTGTGTGTGTGTGTGTGTGTGTGTTCACACGAGTCCAGGGTGCCAGCTATCCCAGGAGCTGGAATTACAGGTGATTGTGAACCACTTGGCATGGTTGCTGAGAAGCCAACCTGGGTTCTTGTAATTGGTTTTATTTATTTATTTTTTACTCTTTGCTCTTTTAGGGGGCCCACCCACCCCCAGCTCCCAAAAAACCACATGGAGATGTTTTCTTTCTTTTGAATGCCCTGTCTTAATTTGGCTTATTTCTAGCCAACTTTTCTTAACTTAAATTATCTCATCTACCGTTTACCTCTGGGCTTTTACCTTTCTCTATTTCTGTATATTTTTCTTTCCTTCTTATTCCATGTCTGGCTGTGTGACTGGGTGGCTGGGTGGCTGTGTGACTGGGTGACTGTGTGGCTGGGTGGGTAGGTAGCTGGGTGGCTGTGTGACTATGTGATTGGGTGACTGGGTGGCTGGGTGGCTGTGTGACTATGTGATTGGGTGACTGGGTGGCTGGGTGGCTGGATGGCTGTGTGACTAGGTGACTGGGTGGCTGGGTGGCTGTGTGGCTGTGTGGTTGGGTGACTGGGTGGCTGGGTGGCTGGATGGCTGTGTGACTAGGTGACTGGGTGGCTGGGTGGCTGTGTGACTAGGTGACTGGGTGGCTGGGTGGCTGGATGGCTGTGTGACTGGGTGGCTGGGTGGCTGGGTGACTGTGTGGCTATGTGACTAGGTAGCTGGATGGCTGGGTGACTGTGTGGCTATGTGACTAGGTAGCTGGATGGCTGGGTGGCTGTGTAACTGGGTGACTAGATGATTGGGTGGCTGGATGGCTGGGTG